TACTTTTTACACGTTTATNTAAGCTTTATGTATACCTAAAACACCTTAAAAAGAAATTATAGACGAATTACTGAAAAAAAAGAAACGTGATTTTCGCCAAATTTTCATCTTTTTATTGTAGGTATTTTTGATACCAAAAACAGCAAAATAATTTTTCAACAGGGTATTCCGATGGGAAATTTAATTTCTTACAGAAAAATATTGTAAAAAACCGTTAGTGCATTATTTTTGTTATTATCGTGAAAATGCTAAAAAAATGAGCTTTTTCGATTGGGTCTCATATTTAGTAGTATTTTGTGATATCATTTTTAGGTGCTGAACTAACATATTTAACAATAAAACATATGGACGCAATTGTTCCTTACTAAAGCCCCTATTCAACAACTTATAAATACGGTTCTAAGATTGGACCGTGAAAATGCTAAAAAAATGAGCTTTTTCGATTGGGTCTCATATTTAGTAGTATTTTGTGATATCATTTTTAGGTGATAAACTAACATATTTAACAATAAAACATATGGACGCAATTGTTCCTTACTAAAGCCCCTATTCAATAACTTATAAATACGGTTCTAAGATTGGACGTTGAAAATTTTTTAGACTAGGTAATTAATCCTGTGCGAATTAAATAGTTCATGATACCGTTAGACGGTGCTCCTGCACACATTTCCAATGGAGTAGCAGAATTTTGACTCATCGTTTTGGAAGTAGGTGGTTTGGTAAATTGGGCCCATCGTTGTATCCACCTAGGAGCCTAGATGTAACACCATTAGATTTTTTTTGTTTGAGGAAACATTAAAGCGCAGGTCGACTGGGCATCAATTGATTTAAAAAAAGTAATTGGAAGAAAGGGTAAGAAATGTTTTTTAACAGTTTGGAACAACAAGAAATTGAAAAAGTTACTATTGAAGGTCATCTCAGGAGAATTGAAAAGTTCTTGATTTTTAAAATTTTTTTTGAACACTATAAATATCGACAAAAATAACTACTTGGGATCAAATACTATCAAGTAATTCAGTTGTGGTAAAAATTTGGTTTATTAACTGTACGAAGTTATCTTACAGAACATATTTTTAAATACAAAATGATGATGATCGATTATTTTCGGATAGGGTCATGTTAAAAACATAACCTTAAATAAACGAATAAATTCAATGGTATAATAAAATACAGAGTGCTTTGTTTAAATTAAAGAAGTTGATATCAACTTCTATTATAACCGGAAGCGCTATAAAATTGAAAATATTTTAAAAATGTTGATTATGTGGCGCAACTATTAAATGACTTTTTTTAAGTTTTCCTGCCGACAGTTTACTGGCTTAGGGTATAGATGCAATATAGGTGTATTAAGATTAAGAAGTTTTAGGGTAGTGTCTTTTTAAATACAGATTTATTTCTAACGATTCGCTTCGTAAAGTGACATAACATAAATTGAATTGTAGAAATCAGATCATTTTAAGTTGGACACATTTTTCAAAATCGGTCTGATGGTTTTGAAGATGTAAATCTGGGAATGAACCGCATTTTGATTGCTGTGGCCTTTTTTTACAAAGAAATGTACATACAACGTCCTATTTGTTTTGGATGAATTAAAATCCTGGAATCGGTGTATAGCTTGAATACGACAGAAGTAAAAAATATTCAAACAAAAGTATTTCCTAATCTGCGAGATCCGTGGTTTAGGAAGTATGTACAAGTCAACTTAATTTTTTTCAACTCAACTCTTTTCTAAAATTACATTTTTGAATTAATTAATGTTGCAATCAATACACAGTTTTTTGTAGTGCAATTTGGAAGAATTGAAATTTTTTAGATTGAGATTTACTTTTTAGTTAGTGTCAAATACTTTGTGCTTCAGATTTTCTATAAACCTATTTAATTTTTCTAAATTTCTTTCCACAATAGCTACTTTGTTTTAAATGGAACAATTTTACTATGTCATATTTATTTATCGAAAGAAGGTCTTACAAATACGTTGTTTATATCCATTTTTAGCCTTTTTATCGATTTAAATAGGTCCTTTTTTGTTTTTTGCTTCTGCAAATAAGAAGCTTCCAAGCAAAACAAACCTTCTGCAGGTATAACAATTTTTATTGATGCTTCAAGTTTGGAATGGGATGACGTAATGTTTGTAAGGAGGATCTGCCTCGAGCGAAAGATGAGGTAACACCAATTTATCGGACGACTCGATGAACTTTGGGTGTGTAGCAAAAAAGTGATTTTCAATAGGTAACTATTGTTTACAGGTGTTATAAACGTCATGGTCCTTGCAAATATCAAATGTAAAACGTTCGGTTAATGTAGATTTCTGTTCTTCTCGATCAAAGCAATATTGGAGTTTGAATTTATTTTATTTAAAAAACCACAGCCAACGTTTCGCCCAGATTGTAGGACTCTTTCAAGCCTAGTTTTATTTAGTCAAAACTGTAATACCGGTGGAATTTGGTTAAATGACTTGCTCAGAGATCAACATATTCGTTGTAATGATAAAGATTTTTTGTATAGATGTTACCGGAAATGTATGAAATCCGTCATTGTATACAATTCCTAGGAAATGTATATAGCCGTAAAATCGCTCGGAAATGAGTGAAATAATAATCATACTAGACATATTCTTTAGGAAATCTATACATTTCCTAAATAACAAACGGAAATATATTACAGGGAATACTAAACAGGCAATAATACGGTAGGCTGTTTGGAGCCTAAGATACCTACAGTCGACTCTCGTTAATTCGAAACTCGAGGGACTCTTAAAATATTACGAATTATCGAGTGTTTGAAATATCAAATGGTTCGAAATTTTTGAGAGAAAATAACTAAAATGAAACAAACCAATTCATGCGGAAGTGTGTGTCAAACTAATTATAACAAAAACAAAAGCTCGATGATACGATGATACATGTTTGAAATTGCCTCAAAATGTATGTATGTACTTACAATCTTTCTGTCTCTTTCTTTCTGCAACTTTGAATTGTAGAGTGTTTGACGCCGATAAGTTCGAATTAACGCGTCATTTTGTTACGTAGCAATGATTTTTTCGTTCGATTTACCGAGTGCATAAAAATGTATTGGGTTAGTTCGAAATATAAAGAGATTTTGTAGGGAACTTGTGATAACTTCGAATTATCGCAGGTTTGAATTAACGAGAGTCGTCTGTATATCCATTGGCGACGTTATTGTATGGTTATTAGGTATATTTATGACAGACTGGAGTTTTCGAAGGCAGGCTGTTATGTTAGATGTTGGGCGCGGAGATCATAATGAAGCATACTTTTCGAAGACATTTTTCCAACATATCACCAGGGCACTCTAGCCTGACATAAATATACCTAACAACCATACAATAACGTCACTAATGCATATACATCTCCAAACCTAACCTAACCAAACAATAACGTCACCAATCCGTATACATCAGGCGATCGCACTAGATACTCAGATAACTTTTATTCTCAGTTTACTAACGTGGTTTATTCATTTTATACACAGAAAGCATTAGTTTTAAAAATTCCCTGTACAATATCGGAATTTCATACAATTCCAATGTGTACATTTTCCAGGATATGTGTGTTAAAAAATTTTTTAAACAATTTTTTATAGATTTCCTAAATAGCCTCGGAATTGTATACAATTCCTAGATTTCATACATTTCCGGTAACATAGATAAAACTCTAAAAACTAACTAACATAACAATTGTTTTAAAATAGTTTTTCGATTAAAATAATAAATAAATAATAATAAATTACGTGGCAACGGTTATATACAAGCATTTCAAAAAACAACAGTTGCTGAAAAAGACCAACAACCTGAGCGAAACGTAGGCTGTTGTTTTTTAAATAAAATAAATTTAAAATCCAATATTGTTTTGATCAAAAAGAATCGAATACAAAATAGGGGAAGAAGAATAAATTCAATGTAGATTTCTGCATTCATGCCCGCTCTTACATTATAACTGTGTTTTCGTTTGGCATTTTAATTAACCTGGGCCTAGTAACATAGTATTATTGTCCCATATTTTGTACCAATACGAGTTTACAAACGACTTGGTACATGTATGTATGTAGACGCAATCGCTAACTATTCCATGTGGATACTCCCATAAGGGTTTGGCTGGGTAGGTAGTTTAGGCCATTGCTTAGCGTTCGGGAGGACGCCGGTTCGATTCCGGGTCCGTCTGCCTTGATCCAAGTTTTTCTGTGGTTTCCTTGGATCACTTAGGCGAATGCTGGGGCAGTAATATTCCACAGATAATCTTTCATTCTCTTCTGTCTTCATTTCGTCCGTCTCAACTTTCTCAGCCGAACCACCACCCACCCATTCCCACGATTCCTGAAAGCAGGCTGAAGAGGGCCTTCCGCCCTACCTTCCGGTATAGTCCGGAAGGATTGCCCGCCCACCAGCATTACTGGCTGGTGGGAATGAAACACCCAAAAGTTTTTTTTTTTATAGTTAGCATGCTTTCAAAATATTCGGACTACGTGTTCGGATGTTATTACCGAGTATATTTAGGAATTAGCGTTTTACTATTACGAGAATTACTACTAGTAATTAGTACTATTAGTAAGCATGTTCTGTATTCATTTTCGAGATTTCTAACTGACGTTTCGTTTACAACCGTAGCAGGGATTCTCAGGGGTATTCTGGTGGTTGTCTCAGTCGAAGATGTCTCGCAGGTCGCTTCGTGATAGTACTACGTATATTTTGCCGGAACCTTAATGTTAATAGTAGGTAAGGAATTGTAACATAAAATGTAAAAAGTCAGTTAATTCAACAAGGAAATATTTAATGAGACTAAGAATTCAAGACAGATATTGTAACTCACTTATTTTTAGAAGAGGAAAAAAAAGTAGAAAATAGGATACAGTAACACGCTTTTTTAATGCGTTGATAAGATGGATTTCACGTATAGGAATATAAATATTTTGCCTGCAACACTGACGATCAGGTTCTGTCCCCAGCCGATACATATTTACCATAAAATTCGAACGTAACTTACCGATTATTATATTTCTGGAGGATCCTTTTTTCCTGTCCTGTAGTATATTTATAGAAAAAGTTAGTAACCTGAAACAAAAGAAAAGAAAAATAAAATATTTTATGAATACTTTTGTTTAGAAATTTGATAACGTCGTATGCAATGGATGAATCAAAACTAAACAGGGGATGAAAGTTTTTCTTTTTAAATTACTGCCGACGCTTCGCCCTAAGTTGTTGGAAACTATATGTTGTGGATATTATGTACTATTTGGAAGTTATGATATACATATAGATAAACGTTTAAGATAGAGTTTTTATTGCTTCATGATGATGTAAATTTTATAAGAAAGCTCAAATTAATATTTATCAAATCTAACTTCACTAGTTGTTATTATAACTCTTTTCGAACACATTTTTGTTATTCCATACAGAAAAAGAAAGTTAGCTATTGTGTTTCAACCGTTTTCAATTAGTTAGAGTAACCTAAATATGGATTAATTTTAGTATCATTGTTCGAGACCTCTAAGGACAAACGTGAGTGTCACGTTACAGTAAACAAGTTAACCTTAATTTTTCTTCGCTGAATGAAGTGCGGTACGACTTTTGTACCTTTGCCATTCGGTAGCGTCCGTCACACACTTGCAGATGCTTTTTTCGTTTAAATGAGATCTCTCTCATGAAAAATAAAATCATCTAGCGACAGATTTGACGGTCAATCGTAGGTTAATGTAGTAAATGTCAGTAAGGGGATAAATATTCGATGATTGAATAATGTCGATGAGGTGGGCCAGGTACGTGAATTTTTTAATTGCACATCGTTAGTTTAATTAATGGAAATCCCTGAAAAAAAACATTTGATTGCCACTAGGACGTAATACTTAACACGAATTATCAAATCACGGCTTTTGAAATTTCAATCCCGCATTGCTTTACACTTTATTGGTCCGCTTTTTTATTTGACGTTTGTTAGGGATGCTTTTTTAGGTTTTGTATTGATGTTCTTATATCTTAATGTTGTCTTTGGTATTTCCTTAAAGTCTAAGAGATATTATTCGGTAGTACTATTTAAAAGGAACAAGTCAGAATTGCCTATGGCGTGCTGATGCAATAGGATAAAAATCGCGATCCATATTTGACGATTTCGACAAATCTGACCAAGAACTTCTGATGATAAAAACAGAGATTAATTCCCAAACAGTTTTTTAATAGATTTGCGTTTAAAGGTATTCGATAAACGCGTTTTTCAGTTACTAGAAGGTTAGATTGAGTTGTTATTTACAACTGTTTATTATAGCTAAAAAATGTTTAACAACCTAGGCTGATTCTTCATTTTTGATAGCAACAAAAGAAAGTAAAATTAAAAATGCTTTTAAATGCGGAAATAAAAAATTTGTATGAAATGGAAGATATGTTTAATTACTCTTTTTCTTTAATTGAGAATAAAAATAGTTATATTAAAAATAAGACAAATTCTACTTACGCCAAACACGTCACTGAAGAAGGACATATTTTACATTTAAAAACTAAAGAAAAAAACTTACTTTACTTGAAAATTTGAAAATTAATAAATATAAAAAATTAGGTGTATTACTAAATGATCAAATCGAATGTAATAATTCCCTACTTCTAAAACTGTTTTGAACTACCCTAATAACACCGTATTTAAACACCTACTTTACTTTGTAATAGGTACTAGTAGTACGTACTAGAAGTCTGAGGAAGCCAAGAGTAACGAAACAATTGTTACTTGAGAAATAAAAGTGTGTGAAAATCTTGTTGTCATATTTTATTTATGTACATGGATTTTCATCAAGTAAAGGTCGAATCTATTCAATAAATTAAATACCATGATTAGTTAATTTCTTGGTGAGATAACTGTTAAGGTTAGTTAATATAAACAATATCTTTTCATTTACATTATGCTTAATTAATGTATACATTTTAGTAGGTACAGTGTATAGTATAGGAGCATACTTGCCTTTTTTAGTTCAAAAAGATTACTATTAGATTTGCCTTGACATATAGAGATAATTCATTAATACAATGTTCAATTTAATTCCTTTCGATTCTATTCAACCGGAAAAATGTGAAAATGCTGCAGTTTCATGGTATTACACAATATATATTATATCAAAAATGAAGTACCTAAAATACGGAATGAAATTTTGGAAAAGAGTATTGTGGTAATTCAGAGGAATTATTATACTTCAAAGAGAAAATTTGATACATTCAACTATTAATCTAAATTAAAACACCTTCTCGAAATTGCACTTTGAGTTTATATCGGAGGTACAAGCGAATTAAATTACTTTTTTCATCAATAATAATTGCTACATTAATTAGTATACCATAGCATTTCATATCAATGAATTGTCAATGACTATGCTAGTTAATTACATCACTACTCTTCGTGAGGAGAAAAAAAATGCATTTTTTCAGTGAATGGGTGGTCGTGTGGTGGTGATAGATGACAATTTTTTGCAGGATATGTTAATAAATAATGTGACTACAGAAAACTTTTTGATCAAGAATTAAAGGTTAACGCCGTAAGCAATTGTAGTTGGGCGAAGGCTCGAAGTGTGCTAATATATATTGAAAAATGATGCGTCAAATTACGTGTTGTGTTGGAAAATGCCATTTTCTGTAGCATAACAGTTATCATCATCATCAAGTGTAACCTTTACGTATTCGGATGACTGCGGTTGCACTAATATTTTTTAATCAAATTTTCAGGGCAGATTAATATTTATAAGGTCAGTTTTGACTAAATGAATTTATGTACCTATATATTGACAGCTAAGATAGGGGAATCAAACTTTTTGATGGTTTGTGTTTTGAAAACTTTTCCACTTATTACGTTCATCACTCTGGGGGTGAGCATAAGTATATATTTCTTGGCCTTCAGCAAAATAGTCGACAAATATTCCACTGTACGTGCAACATTCGATACTGAGAATATTGAAATGCCAGAAAATGGAGATGCTATCTTACAAAATCTGGAAAATGCGATTGAATAAGATATCTCTAATGAACCCGAAATAATCTAAATCCAAATATTGATAAAATATGTACATATATATTTATAAAGACACTTAGGTAGGTATTTAAGAAAAATTTCATAATGCTACATAAATGCCTTTCGTCATAAATAATTAAGTTTGAGTACCTTTTGAAAACTATATATTCCAATTTTGAGAAAATTCAAAATAAAAATTTTTTGACGTTAATTATTCGCGCCTCTATTAAGTCATATTTTGAAATCAACGAATACTTTCCAATTTGTGGTGCCCCACAGTGGCCATTCTAGATGTTTTTTACGTAGATTCCTTTTTGCAAAACTAACCTTATGTTAGTGTAAATCTACCGAGAATGTTTGGTAAAAATATATTGGTGGGACTGGGGTCATCCGAATGATAGAAGGCCACACTTCTGTGTTATATGTAAAACTGTAGAAAAATGACTTTTCCCAATTTTACACAAAATTGTATACATCGATTTTCAATTACGTCGCATTAAGCCCATTCCGAAGCTTGGACCAGTTACAATTGCTTATGTCTGTTGTCTGTTTTTCTCTTTTTTTTGTACATAAAATATTTTCAGTTTAAATTCATATTTGTAATGTTAAATAGTAGTTGGTGACAACAGGATAAGTTTACATTTTACCTGGGTATTCACAGAATCCTTATAAACTGCAAAGGAATGTTGTATAGCGATTGTGCTGGTATTTAAAATAGAGCTTTCTATATTCTTTGTTAATTCAATTCTAGTTATTCACCCCCGCTAGAATAATACTTAGCAGTTTTTCTGTTTATAGTTAGAGTTGCATGGTAACATTAAGAATTCACATTTTTCACATATTTCAACTCTTCAACAAGTCAGTTTTGCACCAGTAATCCACCCAAAATAGTTTTCATTGTCGGACGAATTAATAGTTGTTTTTAGTTTTATTTTAGACGTTGAAATTTATTTTTATTGATAGAATAGAAGTTCAAGTAAATGTTTTAAATAAAACAGTGACTTTTTATTCTTCAACGAAATCTCGATCCATATAATTAGTTGCACAATATTAATTTGGCGTGCAACGTACAACGTTTGTACAGTCTTACCCATTTTCAAATTGTCCAAAATTTCAATTGTACCTACAATCCTTATACTGTGGTTTTTGGGAAATACTTATAAATTCCTGTCTTGTTTCATTGGAAATGTTTGAATGAATTTGGTGGGTATTCGCAAGTACAGTAAATTATATGTAACACAATATTTCAAGCACTTACGGAAAAATTTGCTTGACTTTATTTTTGTCTCGGTGGTCTAGGTTCTTAGAGCAAGCAGCTTTTTCAAACTGTCCTTAGTTTCTAAGTTAGCTGTTTGTGAGTCGAATAAATAAATTATTCTTTATGAATTGCGTATTATATTTGAACAAAAGGTTTGTTTTTCTTTTAAGACACGTGTAGAAAGCACGTAGTTTTGTGTGAAATGCCTATTGTTGTGCGTTAGAAGAATACACAGTGCATTGTAAAAATGTCCATGCTAGTTAACCTATGAAAAAAGTGAAAGAATGGAAACTTCTGGCTACGTTTCAACGCAAAATCCTATTTAATAGCAATGCGGAAGGAAACTTGTAAAAAGTAGGTTTAAAATATACAATGCTGGACTTATTAGCCATTTATTGTTTATTCATTGCATATTTTCCTTGAACGAAGGAAAGTTGAAGTGAAATAATGTAGCGACATAATGAAAACTTTACTTAAAACTAGTCACGTCCACACATCAGTTATTGTTAGATTTTAAATGGGTATCAGAAATAATTGAGTGATAGATATGACGGCTCAAAGAGTTTTTTTGATTGCCACCTTGACTAAACCTTTTTTTATTGTATCTCACTAGTGTGAAATATTTCTTGTAAAACGAATTACTTAATACGAATATACGGTACAGTTTTCTTATTCTTTTGGTTCGGTTTCTAGCGGAGCATGTGCATGTAGAGTTTAGCTTTATTATATTACTGGCTTTTCCCGGCGGCTTCTCTCGCAGAAATTAATATTGTTTCTCTATAAAACCTTTTAACTCCCAATTCCCCTTACAAC